AGAAAGAAAAAATAAATGCAGATTCTCTTCTAAAATGCAAATGTCACCTTAAATTTACTATAGTTTGTGGTTCAATCCAGTAAGTACTTTTGAGGATCTACTCTGATCCCAGCTCTTAAGAGATATGACAAGCAAGAAATCGCTGCTCTAAGGAATGACTCCTTGTCCCTCTTTCAAAACCGCCTTCATCCGATGCCAGCCACAGTGACGCCAGGGCTGCCACCCCTGATTGGCCTGGTTGGTCAGGCTAGTGCTAAGGAATGGTCCCTGCTCATTCCTGGAGGACAACTGTCATCCCCTGTACCAAGTACCGGCCACTGGCTGTCTCTGCTGCCATCTGGATGCAGTGTTGCTGAGGGAGGGGTGGCCCCCGAGAATAATCCGCCTAACTCCTCCCTTCCACCCCTCTTCTCCGCCTCACCAAATCTCTCCCTCTGCCTTCTCCTGCATTCTTTACCCCTATCCCCAGGAAACACGAAGGGGTGGAGAGCTGGGCAGGGCTGTTAACTCAACGGTGGTGGTGACTGTGCTTTCGGTTTCCTTTCTAAATTTGACTGGATATAGTTGAGAAAGAGGTAAGGGCTTGAACGCAAGTTGCTTTGTGTTGTTGGCAGAGCAGCCTTCTTCCCTCTCCAGTTTGATTCTGCAGTTTTTTATTCTCACTTAAAAAAGAAACAGGAAGGCCAGGCATGGTGGCTCACGCCTGTATCCTGGCACTCTGGGAGGCCGAGGTGGGTGGCTTGCCCTGAGCTCAGGGGCTCGAGACCAGCCTGAGCCAGAGCGAGACCCCGTCTCTACAAAACATAGCCGGGCATTGTAGTCCCTGCCTGTAGTCCCAGCTACTTGGGAGGTTGAGGCAAGAGAATCGCTTAAGCCCAAGAGTTTGAGGTTGCTGTGAACTATGATGCTGCAGCACTCTACCGAGGGCCACAAAGTGAGACCGTCTCAATAAAAAGAAAGAAAGAAAGAAAGAAAGAAAAGAAAAAAATAACCTTCAAACTAAGACAACTGAAAGCCAGTTGACAGCAAAATTTTAAAAAAGAAAGAAACAGGAAGCCTCAGTGTGAAAGCATTTGCCCTTTCCAGTAAATCACTCCCTGGACGGCCAGCGCCCACCACACCCACTGGCTGATGTCTTCACCTACTGTACCAGAGGGTGCATCGCTGCTAAAAGATAACTTGGTCTTCAGTGTTAATGTTTAAGGTTAATGTTAAGTCTGAAAACAGAATATTTTCCATTCATTTCTCATGTTTTCTGTTACTTGACAATGACTTCTCTGTGCATGCTTTTATTTACTTACCTACCAGTTGTTTTGTTTCATTTCTAGAATTTTACTGTTTTTTTCTAATTACAATATCATGGCAAAAATATGAGAAAAATAGAAACATTTCTAAAACTGAAAATAAAGAGTATCGGCTCGGCGCCTGTAGCTCAGTCGTTAGGTGCTGGCCACATGCACCGAGCTGGCAGGTTTGAACTTGGTCCGAGGCCTGCTAAACAATGACAACAACAAAAAACAAACAAAAAATAGCCAGGCATTATGGCGGCACCTGTCGTCCCAGTTACTTGGGAGGCTGAGGGAAGAGAATCGCTTAAGCCCAAGAGTTGGAGGTTGCTGTGAGCTGTGATGCCACAACACTCTACTGAGGGCAACACAGTGAGACTCTGTCTCAAAAAAAAAAAAAAAAGATAAGAAAAGAAAGATTATCTACATGTACCCTGTAAAGACCTACAACTATCTGTGCCATAATTAAAAGTAAGTAAGAAATATATATTTTTTTACAAATAAAGATTGTATAATCCCACCACTACGTGACACCTTGGTATGTATTTGTCAAGACTTCCTGTGCATATGGTCACACGCACAGTTGTTTTAAAGATTATCTTGGGTTCATTTTTATCTCAACCACCTTTTCTCATTTGTAATATTGTAGACTTCTTTCTATATTAATAAATGTAAATCTTTTGCATAATTTTTAATAATTGGATAGTTTCCGTTGTAGGGGTATAAACTACATTTTATTTTTTTTTAACTGCATTTTATTTAACTAGTTTTCTGCTGATACAAGAGTTAGGTTAACATCCTGAAAATTATTTCTCTGTATATATTCCTCTGTTCTCTTTTAATAAATTCTTGCTGGGATTAGAGGGTCAAGGTTGCAAAGTGCCCTTGGGAAAAGCTGCCCTAGTTGAGGCTCCCAGCCTGTTTCCATATCCTCACACCCAGCTATGTCCAGTTGGAAGGCCAAACGCTGGGGCAGTTATCCTGGTAGCTGCAGGAGGTGTGGGCTGGCTATCCTGCACTGAAGGTCCCCAAAGCCCCTGTGGTCCACGAGACGTGTGTGACCTGGGGCCTCAGGGAAGCTCCTGCCTCTCTGGATGTCAGCCGTCTCTCTTGCATACCTTGCTGCTGGCTAGTTTTTGCAGGAAGACTTCCCAGTAAGCACACTGACCAAAGCAGGAGGGTTTTTATCAGTAGTCCTGCCCTCAGGCTGAACCCTCTTGCTGACACAGGGACATCCTCTCTCCGTCCTAAGTCTCGAGTGATGCCCTAAGTGCCCCACGTTCCTGCTCCTGTCAATGCAGTCAGGACAGCCCTAAGTCCTTGCCTGTCCCCGGCTATCGGCAGTGCCTCTCTCAGAACACCTCTCCCACCTCCTTACCGCTCTTCCTCTGCCAGAAAAAAAATGCAAATGAAAACTGTTGGTGATGATACTGGAAAGAAAGTGTCACTGCATGCTCTTGTTTCTGCACCTGCGAAGCGGAAGGGGGGGGACGTCGTGCCTGGGGCGGCACAGGAGGACCGCGTCCCTGCCTGCTCCCCTCCTCCTCCACCTCCTCAGCCCCTCACCCTGACCTTGGCCACAAGGCTCTTGCTTCCACACCCCAACCCTGCAGCCCCGCCACCTCTGCTCTGTCACCCCAGGCACTTTGCCTTGAGGATGAGGAGCAGGGTGAGGGGTGGCCTGGGTGGGGACAGTCATTGCCAGCAGTGTCCACAGAGAAAGGGGGATGTATTTTTGCCCAGACATAGGTTAGAGGGAATGGCATGGCCTTTCAGCAGTGTGAGCATCAGGAAACAGATTGGGAAGAGGTCCGTGGTGAAGGACGTCCCTGTGCCAGGCTCTCAGTGTGGCCTGTTCTCTCATAGTGCCTATCTCCACCTCCGCTGTTGGGCTCGTCGTGGTGATCGCAGTCATCCTGCTGATGTGTCACATGATCAGATCAAGGTGAGTAGCACAGGAGACGTGAGTGGCCAGAGGAAAGCGCCAGTTCATGCTGGTCCCAGGTGCTCCCTTGTCCCACAGTCTGTCTACCAAAGGCCAACCCAGAAGGAAGATGGCACCAAATGCCTGAGGTGGCGAATGTGTAACGGCGTCCGTCCTCCCCGTGACATGTCCTGTGCTCATTAAATACGGACGTGGTTTCTCAGAAATACCCTCACTAGTGTCAGCCTTGATTTTTGTGTTTATTGTAGTCAAAATTCTGCATCTCGGCCTTTTTGGTAAGACTGTTTCTGCCACTTGCTGACATTTCAGCTTTTATTTTTTTAATTTTAGGCATTTTTGTCATTCCTTGCTTAAAGCCTGAAATGGCATATCAGCTTTAACTTTGCGTTCCTACAGTTAGTAGCTGGCGTTTCCGCATTCCCATAGTGAGGGGGGGGCTCTGAATCCCGCCCCGCCCCCCGTTATTCCATGAATGGATGTCATGTTTGTTAAACTAAAGTCTTTCTTGAGTTATAAAATATTCTTTCCTAAATATCATATCAATTTAAAAACTATATGACTCCGTGAGCCTAGTTTTGACTAAAGGAACCTTCCATGAGACGCTGCTGAAAAGCCAGGCTGGGAACCAGTATCTGCACCTTCACGTAACCCTTCAAAAGCCGTTCAAACTCCCTCACCCGACAAAAAACGCCATCAACCTCATAGACAGTTGAAAAATTAACAAAGGCGATATAGTACTCAAAAATTTGAAAAGAAATCCGAAAATGCCAAATGTTGACAAAACAGAAAACAACTTTTAACGAAATTTTCAAAAATACCATTGTAACGGAAGAATTTCACATAAAATGTCAAATTTGATGCTGTATTTTTAAGAGGTTATAATGACGAAATATATTCATCGAATATATTCCAAAAGGACTGACATACTATCTGTCTTATGAATACATTAAAATAAATTCCTAAAAATTATTTCTAAATTTGGTGTATATAGGCAATAAATATGTTAGTGAGAGGAAAATACCATTGTTGACTGGCTAGTTTTAAAAATATACATCAGGCTCAGTGCCTATAGCTCAACAGCTAGGGTGCCAGCCACATACACTGGGCTGGAGGGTTCAAATCCAGCCCGAGCCTGCCAAATAATGACAACTACAACCAAAAAATAGCCAGGCATTGTGGCAGGTGCCTATAGTCCTACCTACTCAGGAGGCTGAGAAAAGAGAATCACTTAAGCCCAAAAGTTTGAAATTACTGTGAGCTATGATGCCATAGCACTCTACCAAGGGTGACATAGTGAGACTCTGTCTCAAAAAAATAAATAAATAAAATAAAAAATTCATCAATATATCTTTAAGAGGAATTAGTAAATTTGATGAGTGTTGATTACTTGGTCATTTGGTGAATTAATTCTTTCCATAAATTGAGGTTTCTGTAAATGGGTTATTGGATAATTTGCCATTCACCAAATTGGCGTTTAGCACATTATTTCCAGTGAACTGGTGTACAGTTCTGATTCATAGTTTAGCTTTTACTCCAAGGAGCTCAAACATCTTACTTTAAAATGGCCTCAAACACCCAGATGCCCAGGCCTCAACCCCACAGCAGCTTGAGGCAGACAGAATGTCTGAGGGCTCTGCCCATCCACCGCCATGTTACTTGGGAGCTGATTCATCCATTTTTCTGTGTGTTTATTTAACACTTACTAAGTGCTAAGAGCTGTTTTAAAGGCACCAGGAATCCTAAATCATTCTTTTTTTTTTTTTTTAAGAGACAGAGTTTCACTTTGTTGCCCTTGGTAGAGTGCTATGGTGTCATAGCTCACAGCAACCTCCAGCTCTTGGGCTTAGGCAATTCTCCTGCCTCAGCCTCCTGAGTAGCTGGGACTACAGGTATACCCATTATAGCGCCTGGCTATTTTTTGTTACAGTTTGGCTGGGGTCGGGTTCGAACCTGCCACCATCAGTATATGGGCCCAGTGCCCTACTCACTGAGCCACAGGCACCGCCCCCAAATCATTCTTATTAGGATGATTAAGTCTGGTCTGGCCAGGCTCCTGATCATTCTTGCCTCACTCGTGTGTTAGAACATGCTTTAGGGAGAGGTTTGGCAGAGCCAGGTGTTGGGGGTGAGTTGCTCCCACGCATTGGTAAATCGTTGGTGGATCCCAAACAGGATTTAGGCAGCTAGGCCTTCTCCACCTCTGAAGATAAGGCCTCTGTTTGCTAACATGATCCACATGGTGCTGGGCACACTGTTTAGTACGAAGTTCCACTGACTCGTGGGCGACCCGCTCCTCTTTTCAAAGCCTATGAATCATCTCCTTTGCAGGCAAACTCCGCGGCGGCACAGTGTTGAAATGCAAACCGTGGAAGCTCTGCCAATGACCAAAAGCACAGAGGAAGACGGGGAAACCGGTCCACACAGCCTCTGAAACGCAGGGAGACCAGCCCGCCTACGTCTGGGAGGAGCCCCCTCCACATTAGCTGCAGAGGAGGAGAAGACAGGCAGGGGGTGGCAGTAGGAACACGCTCACCTAGACAGTCAGACACCTCTGGTGTGATCTCCCCAGCTATGCCCGGCCCAGGCGCCGCCTGGGTGAGCAAGAAGGTTCTCCACTGTTCAGACGGATGCCACCTGTGCACCTGCCCAGCACAGGGGATGGCTTCCCAAGGTTCAAGAAGCTGAAGCTCCCCGGGGAGAGACTGAAGGCTCCAGGGCAGGTTTTATTTCAGTGCGACATGTATTCAGAACAGCTATCGAGGTTGTAAAACCTTGGTTTACAGAGAAAAGTAACATATGTGCACCAGGCTCTCAGTCAGTTCAGAAGCCCCTCCCAGCTTGGGAGCTGTCTGCAGGGAAGAGCCAGGCATTGGAGCGCGCACCCTGCCCCCCACCACTGTGTCCAGCTGTCCCGTGTGTGCTGAAGGGGAGCCAGAGAGGCAGGGGAGACTCTGAGCCCAGGGAATCTAGATCCAAGGGTCAGAAAGAACAGAAGGGAAGTCACTGACACTTCGGATACATACGCCTTTATATTTATACCCCCTTCTCTACTGTATCCACATGTTGAATGTGACTTGCATTTTGCAATTGTGCCTTGTGAAAACAAAATAAAATATCTATTTTCAATATTTAAAAAATGCACTGAGAGAATCACCAAGGAGAAATGTTCCACAAAGAAATAAAGAGGAGAAATCAGGAAACCAGAGCCCACCGTGACCGGGCCAGTCGGGTCTCCTTCTGGAAGCAGAGACAGTCTTGCCTGATGCTGGCTCAGACCACAGTTTTGGGGCATTTCCAACAGAATTTCCACATGAAGAGAAGCAACATGATTTATTCCATGCAGTGGCAGGGTCTGGCCCAGCTGTGCGTGTGCTGTCCCTTCCCTTCCTCTGCCTTCTCTTTTTCTTTCTTTGCTGTTTTGACATTTATTTCTAAAGCCATAGGCCCTAACCCACCTCCTCAGTTTACAGATTAGAAAACCGAGGACGGAGAAGTTGAGCTGCCCATGGCCACGGAGCTCAGTTGATGGCAGAGCTTGATCAGAACTTGGGGGGGGGGGAGTAGGAAGGGGTTGTGGTTGGTGGGGCTGCCCCTACCCTGCACAACTTCCCCTCATACACCCAGGGGGAGGGGAAGCCCCTAAGAGCACTTGGCAGGTACAGCGTAGGCTCGGCACCCAATTAATGCCAATTCTGACTTCTGCAAGTTGTCAGTTTAGGTGATTTCATCAAAGTCAAAGGAAGCTTCTCCACGTGGCTGCTTGGGCTTCCTCCCAGCATGGTGGTCTTGGGCTAGTCAGAAAGACTGAAAGACAGAAACTGCCAGACTGCTGAAAACCTAGGCTAAAAAGAGGTACGCATCACTTCTGCGGCATTCTGTCCAAAGCAAGTCACAAGGCCAGCCCAGATTCAAGGGGAAGGGGCACAACAAAAAGCAAGGAAGGGGGCACCCAGTTTGATGCCCCTTCTCTTGCATTGGGAGCTTTCCTATCTATCCTCTATAAACTATCGCTTTTGCTTTAAAAAAAAAAAAAAAAAAAAAAGAGGGAACGGGTGGCTGGAAGCCCTATTTGGCCACCAGGAAAGTGAAATTCACCCTTCAATCCTCAGCACTCAGGGAATGCCGTAACAGCGAGCAGAGGAGTGAATGGAATGGCCCAGGACTCTAGAGTCCATCTTTTTAGTTTTTATCTAGAAATAGAAAAAGTACACAGGACTCCAAAGGATTTGAAAGTTCTGCAGCTGTTAAGCCTTCAGCCTAGGTGTCTTCACCTGTCCATGAATCTTTTGCATTCACACTTTTGCATTCTTCCCTCATTTTCCTGCCCTCTGCGGCATTTTTTATGTAGCCAGGATTTTCCTTGATCAAGAGACGAGACTCTTTTACTTTCCTGTTTTCATGCCCTCCTCTAGATTAGGGAGAACAGGGCCCGGGAGACACACTTAGATGCCCTTACCCGTTTTCATGCCCTCCTCTAGACTAGGGAGAACAGGGCCTGGGAGACACACTTAGATACCCTTACCCGTTTTCATGCCCTCCTCTAGATTGGGGAGAACAGGGCCCGGGAGACACACTTAGATGCCCTTACCCGTTTTCAGCTGCCCACTCCTCTGTCTTCCTCAGGGATCTTTTCCTCCTGCCCAAGATGGCCTCCTCTTGGGCCCGGAATTTGAAAACCTGGAGTCACCTGGTTTGTTTACCATGAGGCCGCACCCCTTTGTGGCAGGCCCAGCCCCGCTCACCTCATGCTGCCAGGCACACACCGGAGCTCCGGGTGGGAACACTGTCCCAGGACTTTTGAGTAGCAGGCTGTGCATTTCTGGGGCGTCTACTTTACACTCCCCCCGAGTCCACCCATGCCAGTTTTCTTGTTCTCAGCTTTCTGGGACCCAACAGCTGCTCCTCTGCAGTTTGGAGGACCCCTGTGGTCTGGGCATCTCACTGCCCACCAGCACAGGGGGCGACACGCCCTTCCCTGCCCCCCCAACCCCAGGCATGGGCAGACATCTGGGCTTGGCCACAGAGCCTCACCCAGACTCAGAAGCTGCTAGACATGGAGTGAATGAGGCACGACAGGGTTCATGGGGCAGAGCCCAGTGAGGCGGAAGTATGGAAACAAGGCTGCTTTGCTTCTGACTCGTTTTCCGCACCTCATCCTCCAATTCCCTGTGACTCTGTGAGCCACAATGTCCTTTCAATACATTTCCTTTTTTTTTTGAGACAGAGCCTCAAGCTGTCGCCCTGGGTAGAGTGCCGTGGCATCACAGCTCACAGCAACCTCCAACTCCTGGGTTCAATCACTTCTCCCACCTCAGCCTCCCAAGTAGCTGGGACCACAGGCGCCCGCCACAATACCCAGCTATTTTTTGGTTGCAGCCATCATTGTTGTTTGTGGGGCGGGGCTGGATTCAAACCCACCAGCTCAGGTGTATGTGGCTGGCACCTTAGCCAGTTGAGCCACAGGCACCAAGCCCAAGTTGAAAAAAAAAATTTTTTTTGAGACAGAGTCTCAAGCTGTTGCCCTGGGTAGTACTGTGGCATCTACATTTTCCTTTTATAATAGATTTTGTTTTCATTACTTGTCCCTGAATAATTCCTAGCTGACAGGCAGTTTGGCACCTGGAGTGGGCCCTGCATATCACAGGGGGAAAGGGGTCTGCAGGGGCATCTACCTGTCTGCCTGGGAGAAGGCAGGAGAGAGTGACCACTCTGCTGGTCCTTGGGTGGGAGCAAGGCAGCCTGGGACACACAGTTATAACTGAGTTCCCAGGAAGGTTCCTGTCATGGCAAGCCTGCTGGATGCCCAGCCCTGGCCTCTTCCCGGGTCAGGCCCATGCCAAAGCCCGGCCCCTGTGTCATTCCTTCACCATCCTCACGACCCCTAGCCCACCCTTCAAGAGCCAGCTCCAGATTATCTCCTCAGGAACACTAACTACTCACAAGTACAACTGTCTCCAAGCCTCACCACATGGATCACCTGCTCCGTTAACAGAGTACCTGCTAGACATGCCTGGTGCAGTGAGAATACAGGACTTAGCCTGGTAGCTGCCTAACGTCCATCTAGGATGAGGCAGTGTCCATCTATGTAGCTTGTCTCTACTGTGAGGGTGACCAACCACATGTGACCTTTCTCCCAAAGGCATGAGGTTGCATGAGACACTGGCAAGTGTGTCTCCATCTAGAAAACAGCAGTGCTAACACTTAAGACCCGGCTGGTACTTACCCTCAAGAAGACATATCAAAACAAGTGTAGAACGAAACCTGACCCTACAGGTCAGTGGACTACACAAGGCGTGTGACTTGAGTCTAGGCAGAAGTCACTGGGAGGGCTGGATGCTGCAGGAGCACTGATGGAGTGGGAAGGGTGGGTGGAATTTAGGTAACAGTGAGGGAGGGGTCTGCCTGGGGGGCCACACAGGCGAAGTGCAAACTGGAAAGTGAGCAGCAAGTTCAGGAAGGTGAGGGGTGCAGCCGTGGGCCCTCGGAATAGCCAGGCAGAGCCAGGGGAGGAAGCTGGCTCTCTCCTGAGGACAGCCCAGTAACTAGGGATTGCCCATGCCTGAAACAAGAGCAGAGGTTACAGGACAAACCCTGCTTCACCCAGCCACCCCCTCTAGTATGTGTCCTCCTCGGGACATGATGCTTCTTTTTCTAGAAGGCTGTTTCCTCAGTCCTCCGGGTGGAAAGCCAAAGCCCAATCCCAAAAGGACATGCTCTCCAAAACCTGGCTGAGGTAACACAAGCCAGAGGCTGCCCAGGTGTCTCCAGGGCTACCCGGCTGCTAGTGGCCATGCTGTTCCCAAATGCTCTAGGAAGCTGGGGAGGCTTCAGAGACACATAAGGGCCTAAGGACAGAATGTAGGGAGTGCTGGCCCATCCTAAAAAACCACAGCAGCTCAATTTTTTTGTTTGGGGTGGGGGGGACAGAGCCTCACTCTGTCACCCTTGGTGGAATGCCATGGTGTCACAGCTCACTGCAACCTCAAATTCCTGGGCTCAAGGGATCCTTCTGCCTCAAGCCTCCCAAGTAGCTGGGACTACAGGTGCCTGCCATAACTCCTGTCTAGTTTTTCTATTTTTAGTAGAGACAGGGTTTCACTCTTGCTCAGACTGGTCTTCAACTCCTAGGTTCAAGGGATCGTCCTACCTTGGCCTCTGAGAGTGCTAGGATTACAGGCATAAGGCATCAGACCCAGCCAAGCACACTTTTTAATCGTAAGCAAAATCTCATTTGAAGAGTTCCATGGCTAAGGACATCTGGAAGCTATGTTTTTAAAAAAAAAAAAACATGATTGTTTTGAAGAGTTCTAATTCCAACTCTGCATGGTGGTAGTGGACACACCCTGGGTTTGAGGATTGAACTTGGGTCTCCCCTGTGTGGTGCTGAGAGCTCTGTGCTGCCAGCCCAGCCCAGACTCTTCAGAGGCTCTGATGCATGTCTTTCTGTACAAGTGACAGACACAGCCAGAGTAAGGTATAGAGAGCAGCCAAGGCTGCAGCTCTGAAGCCCACATCAGAGGGCTTCCTGGGGAGCCGGAATGAAGGAAACACAGGCCGAGGTGGGGACAGGCCCATAGGAGCCAGAGGCAGGGAAGAGGTCAAGAGCTATGGCAAGTCTGTGACACTGTTGCTGGAAACGCCACCTGTCTCTAGCCTACCTCTCAGACCAGGACACAGAACACAAAATACACAAGACTCCTGGTGGGGAGAAACATGGAACACCACTTCCTGGGCTTTCCTGGTGACCCACTTCCAGGGTGGACGACCCCCCGACCCCGGGGCCTGCTGTCCACTTTAGTGTTTGCTGTCTGGGGCGGGGACTGGAAAGCTCGACTCCCGGCCAGTTCCCAGGTGCTGTTGCTGCTTCTCTGGAGACCACACTCTTGAGAACCGCCCTTCTGTGCATCTGGTGGCCCCCACACCAGGCCCCAAGTGCCTTGGCCAGCCCAAAAAGTGTGCTTGGCTGGGTGTGATGCACCATTGCCTGTTAAGAGGACAATCGTTGACAACATGCCAAACTATACCTGGGATGATCTTTTTTTTCTTTTTTTGCAGTTTTTGGCCAGGGCTGGGTTTGAACCCACCACCTCTGGCATATGGGTGCCAGCGCCCTACTTCTTTGAGCACAGGCACTGCCCTGAGATTATCTTTTAAAAAGAAGCTTGTGGACTCTGCCTGGTTTGGCTCAGAAACTGACAGGGTAAATTCTCTGAGTGACGCCCTGCGGACCCCCGTCTGCTGGCCATGAGCATCCTGAAACTGCTGAACGGCAAAAAAATTTCAAATGCCATACCCTAGGACATGTACACGATGTATTTTCAGTGGTGTTTTCTGTAAAAGTGTGTAACTTTGTTACACATCCTTCCTCCCAGCACCCTGAGCCCAGCACCCTGAGCCCAGCACCAGGTACCGATGTCCTGCATCTCCTCTGCTGACCACCCCCTAAGCCAGCCACTGCCACGTTCCCTCTCCACAGGCCAAGTGTAGCCACGGGCACTCTGCACTCGTCTTGCTATGCATTCCGTGGCCTCCCTGTAAGGACAAAAGCACACGCTACATCGTACACAGGTAATCCCCACGGCCCCCGTCTGCTTCTGATGCACGATCACTAACTGTCTCAGACTCCTCGGACTCGGCTTGGCAAGTCAAGGGAATAGAGGCAGAGCTGCTGAAAGAGATGGAGAGAGAGAGAGCTGGAGAAGGTTCAGGACCGTGTGGAAGCTGACACCGCGCAGTGCCACACCAGTGCTACAATACCTGTTTAATTGAAATCTTGTAATAAAAGTTTAAATACATAAAATGTTTTTGTTTTTTTTTTTTATCAAAAGAACATCTCCCACTTGCCCAGCCTGATGTGTACAGAGGACAGGCCGGCGGGAACTGGCTATCTGTGGGGAACGGAGAAATGGCAGGTCCCACACTGGTTGGCTTCTTCTTCCTCAGCAAAGCTCTATGAGTGGCCCCCGAGTCCCGGGGCAGGCACTGCAGCCCACGCTGGCTCTTCAGCACGCGGACCGGTGGCGAGCTCCGAGCTCAGCCTCAGAAGACGAGGAAGAGCAGGGCCTCATGCCTGGGCAGCACGAGGTTCTCCACCGTGCGCTCCATGGCGTGCACCTGCTCGGGGGACGCGGTCAGGAACGCCAAGGGCCCGATGCGCTGCTCGGCGCATGAGTGGCACAGGTAGCCGCCCCTGTTCTCCTTCCTGTTGCTCTGCAGCGACAGGTGAGACAGACAGATAAGGGACAATCAAAGAACAGGACTTTCCACCAAGACGCGCTGAATTATTGTCATAGCTGCCCAGGAACAATGCGTAAAGACTCTGGTGTCCAATTTTCAGATACATGTGAACCCTCTGAGGTAACGCTTCCCACAGCACTGACCTATGATGGACTCATTGCTACCAATCTCCCTAAGAGCAGAAACCACAATCTACCCAGTCGAGATGAAGAACCAGGAGATGCTGAACTGGGCCCTCCAGGGGAGCAGCTCTCCCCTCCAGTGTGTGAGCACAGACTCCCACAACTGAGTTAGCACTGCCTGGCCTGTCCCCTGCCCTCTGAACCCCAGGCATACCCTTTACCCTCATGCCTAATGTAGAAGAAGCCCTTCATCTCCCTCAACCACAACCCAGAAAAGCACACGGCCCACAGGCAAGAGAAAGCAAACAAGGGGGTTACGCTGGGGGCCACTCACATAGGTGATGGGCAGCTTCCTCATGGTGAGGGCAGTGTCCACTGGGATGGCGTTGCTGCACTGCCCCACACAGCAGCGGACCACTCCTGTTTTCAACACACTGCTGGTCAGTTCTGCTTGCAAGAAGTATTCCTGGGGAGGAAAGAGAGAGAGGGAGTAACAGTGATGCCTCTGCTACCTCTACCTGAACCTCCATCAGCAATGGGCTGCAAATACTCTTCTAAGTCCCAGAAAAGCACAGCTGCCCCTTGCCCCCTTCGGCTTTTAGTCCCTGCCTCCAGAGCTTATGGCAATACAACTGGCTTCTTGGTAAAATTCAATATAAAAAAAAAGATTTAATGGATAAACGTGAAACTGCTGCCTCCAACAATACTTGAGGTTTCATCATATTTTAACCCGTCCCCAGCTGAATCATTAGAGAGTGACATGCACATTCTCTGTGTGACCCAGTTAGGGGCACAGAGAGCCTTAGCAATCTTGCCCAAACCAACCCTGCACACGTCTGCCTTCCCATGCAGCTGGCTGTGCCACTGGGCCAGTCACCTAACCTAGCTAAGCCTCCCTCGGGCTGCTCCTCTACCAAACGCAGATAACAGGGCACCTGCTGGTGGTACTGTGGCTGCTGCTGAGGAAGAAACACTACAGACCCTGGTGGCACATGCTCGCGCCCGGCACATGGCGAGCACCTCAATACACCTCCTGGGCTGCGACACCACGGGATAGGACGCCGTGGAGGCAGCGACCTCCTGGGCTGTGACACCACGGGACAGGGCACTGTGGAGGCAGTGACCTCCTGGGCTGTGACACCACGGGAAAGGGCACTGTGGAGGCGGTGACCTCCTGGGCTGCGACACCACGGGACAGGGCTGGAGGCAGTGACATCCTGGGCTGTGACACCACGGGACAGGGCTGGAGGCAGTGACCCCCCAGCTGTGACACCACGGGACAGGGCTGGAGGCAGTGACCTCCTGGGCTGTGACACCACAGGACAGGGCGCCGTGGAGGCAGTGACCTCCTGGGCTGCGACACCACAGGGCAGGGCTGGAGGCAGTGACTTCCTGGGCTGCAACACCACAGGACAGGACTGGAAGCAGTGACCTCCTGGGCTGTGACACCACAGGACAGGGCTGGAGGCAGTGACCTCCTGGGCTGCGACACCACGGGACAGGGCGCCGTGGAGGCAGTGACCTCCTGGGCTGTGACGCCACAGGACAGGGAGGTGTGGCTTCGCACCACCCTGAGAACTCCTCCTTATGCTGCAGGCAGTGGGCCACCAATGTGTGCCACCCGGGGCCTCTGCTTTCAAGGTCTCTGGACCATGACCGGCTATGGATCTAGTTTCTCTACAGTCTGAGGCCCACGTGCTGATACAGCTGGTCTTCACTCTTGAAGGACCTGTCTACCTACTACAGAAAACAGGAAAAACATACACACTCAAGTTCCAGCCAACGGGTACTGACAACCAGCAGTCTGTTTTGTTTTGTTTTTTTTTTAAACATAAAACTATTTTGTTGAAGGCCCCCAGACTGTCATCCCCATGTCAGCACTGTGATCTGGGCACAGCTTCCCACCCTAGTCACACAGTGCTTTGCTCTCACATCCCTTAGGTGAGTGTCACACGGTGGGTTCCCTCTCAGCTTGCTGCTCGCTCTTAAGTCTCTCAAGTGCCGTCTGGTACTCGGCCACATCACTCTCTCAATGCGTTCACCCCTCCCGGTGGTGTGGACACTCACTGTGTTTCCACACCACGTCCAACAACACGGCCATGAACATGGTTGCACACGTCTCCCTGCCCGTGCACACTCCGGGCTCCAAGGGGCTCCAAACGCATTAGACCCACTTCCCATTGCAGTTCTCTACACATGCCCATAAGTGATGGGAATAAAGCTTTCACAAACTACTATTTACCTTTACGTGCAACGTATTCTGCTTTCTCTTAGATTTTATGCCGTTTCACTTTATGTAAAGCTCTTTGTAACCCACCAAATTAATCTCATAAACCACAAATGAACCACAGCCGCCCCTGTGCTGTGCCACCCTGCGTTGTGACACGGCACTCTAATGAAAAAAAAAAAAAAAAAAGAATCTGAGCTCTTGGAGCCTGATGGCTGTCTCTGAACACCCAGAGTAACTTCAGCCATGTCAGAGTTTCCTCACTTCCTCAAAACTTAAAGAAACACATAACCGCCCCCCACCCCCCGAAAAAAAAGCTTCTGGTGATGAGCTTGGCCATCAGAGGAAAAGGAAGCTGCTTGCCCCACTCCATCTGTAGAGAGATGGAGTGGCTGCTGATTCCAAGCAGGGAACGATGGCTGACCTGTCACCACTCCCAGCGTGTGCCACGCTCTCACCCACACACCAGCATCTTCAGCACGGCTTCCCTTCTGAGAAGAGGCCAGACTCAACACTTCTGAAAAAAGATGTCCCCAGATTCATTCACAGGCTGTGATGGGGGGGGGGAAAGGCAGAAGTGCTTCATAGGCCTTAAAACATCTGTTCCCACAAGCAGGCAATTTTTCTGGGCATCCTCAGAGTGATGCTGTGGGCAGAAAGATGTTTCCCTGCCGGGTCTCAGGAAGGGGGAAGTATTTCTCCAGACTCTGCATTCTTTTCTGCCACAAGGAAAATGTAAAATGTACGCAGCCCCAACTGAAAATCTCCCAATTAGCTTTAAAAAGCCTATCCACTCTCAAACATGCCACTGGTAAGACTAGTCTAAAGTGATACCATCTCTGTGAAGAGTTTGGCAACATCTAGAAAAATCACATTCCTATTTATCTTTACCCAGCAATTCCATTTCTAGAAATACACCAAGATGCAGAAACAGAAAATCATGTATAAGGTTATGTATGGTGGCATCATTATTGACAGCAAAAGACGAGACCTGGCCCGATGTCGACCAGGGAGAGGGAGGGCCTATGTCGGTCATGGTGCGTCCACACAAACACTGCCCAGCTGTACGGGGAACGAGGAGGCTTTATGAGGTGATAAGAGATTTCCACACGTGCTTCTAAGCGACAAAGCGAAGTACACGGCAGTATACCACGGCTGCTACATGCCTCACCCCTGAGAGAGAGCAGGGCAATGTGGCACTGTCAATAAACCATCCTGCTATACAAAATCTTTTGTTTTGGAGACAGCTAAGGAAGAAAGAGTACTTACATTAAACTGTGCATTAAGGGATAGGTTTAAGGATTAAGTATCTTGAGTGCAGGGAAAAAGGGACTAAATAGTAACTGTTAGCTCGAATTTCTGTTCTAGGCCAGGCACGGTGCCTCACGCCTATAATCCCAGAACTTTGGGAGGCTTCGGTGGGAGGAGGGCTTGAGGCCAAGAGTTCAAGCTTCAGTGAGCTGTGATCACCCAACTGAACTCCTGCCTCAGCAACAGACAGAGACTCCATCCCTGCCCCCCAAAAAAGGTCTGTTCCTGTTTCTGATAGAGTTGAAAGACTAAATGTTTATATTCTAGCTGTGAAAGGGATAAAATCAACAAAAGGAAGTTAAGAGAGAGGAATGAATGTGGTTTGGGGGAGAAGCGAAGCATGAGTGCGAACCAGGCACTCAATGCATCTCAGCCGGGGGCCCGAACACGCACCCCCTCATGAACGCACCCCTCTGGGAAGCCTGCTGGGGGCAGCTGCAGCAGCCATTTCCAGAGGGACAAGAAGGATGTCTAGAAGCAGAAACGTTCTTACCATTTTTTCCCCTAAGAGTGCTGAGAATTGAGCAAGGAAGAAATTAGGAAATGTGTGTGGTATGAACGTAGCTGATGTTTTAAACAGAAGCATTTAGATCAAATTAGGAAAGAGCTTAGAAAAGGACGTTTTTGTTCCTTCTTGCACCAGAAATCGGCCTCTGCAGCTCAGGAAGCCTTCCTCGTCCCACCCCCCCCCCAGACACCTGCGCTTCTGACCTCAGGCTGGGCCCTCATGCAGACCAAGACAGACTTTTAAATGCTGCCCAAGTGGCTCACGCTCCCGGCCTCTTACCCCAGCCAGAGTCAGAATGTTCTCCAGCGACTTGGTCATGACGAGGCGTTTCTTGGCACGAGTCACCGCGACATACAGCAGATTCCATTCATCCTCAGAAAATGACTCTGAGGAAAGCAGAGGGGGATCCACTCAAAAGCAGGCTCACAAAACTTACGCCCTGTTTACTGTCCCTCACCCATCCCCCCACAAAAAACACAAAAGATTTGCTGCCTGTTTATATAAAATGTTCCTACAAAGGCCAATTCCAAAAACAAACTAAAGCCTAGCAGATCAATGGCATAAACACTGTGTTCCACGCAGTCCTGCTGTGTGAACACTGGCCTTGCATTAGCTGTTTCCTACAGCTGAGATGTGCCCTATGGATATTTACCTTCCTTATCCCAGTTCCTTATCCCTCAGGACAAGCCTGTGAGGCCTATGGGGAAATGGAGCTTTAAAGGGGTTAAGTCGCTAGTGTGAACAAGACCACAGCTCATCAAGGCCAGGGACTGAGGCTGGGCATAGTGGCTCACAACTGTAATCCTAGCACTCTGGGAGGCTGAGGTGGGTGGATTGTTTGAGCAAGAGCTAGACCCCCTCTCTAAACACTAGCCAGGTGCCTATAGTCCCAGCTACTTTGGAGGCTGAGACGAGAGGATCATTTGAGCCCAGGAGTTGGAGGTTGCTGTGAGCTATGACACCACAGCACTCTACTGAGGGTGACAAAGTGAGACTCTGTCTCAAAAAAAAAGAAAAAAAAAAAAGAAAGTACAGGGACTGGACCCAAGTCTGCTTGTGTCTCAGGTCGACACTTGTCCCATCTCCTCAGGCCACGTCCAGTCTGGACTCGGTGGCTCACGCGTATAACCCCAGCATGCTGGGAAGCCGAGGCAGGTGGATCACTTGAACTCAGGAGTTCCAGACCAGCCAGAACAAAAGCAAGACCCTGTCTCTACTAAAAATAGAAAAACTAGCCAAGCATTGTGTCGGGCACCTACAGTCCCAGCTACTCACGAGGCTGAGACAGAAGGATCTCTTGAGCCCACCCACTACTGAAATCAGAGGCCCAGCCTCCTTACCGACTCGGAAGTGGGGAAGCTGGGGCAGGTTATGCCTGGCACAAGGCACTTTCACGAAGTCATCCAGAACATGGACAGTATCAAACTCCAAGCCTTTGGCTTTGTGCACAGTGCCCAGAATGTACTCTAGAATAAAACACGGCACAGGTCACACAGCAGCTTCTCAGGGCAAGAAATGGAAGAACAAAACAAGGCACGTGTCCTGCGTGATTAAAACTGCACCTCAACTTTCCTGCCTAAGTGCAGCTTTGTGGGGAAAGGAGGCCAGAGGAAACTACATTCGAAACAGAAAGAGAAAGAAAAAGAAAGAGGGGGAAAGTAGAAAATTATTAACAGTTGCAGGAGTGGGTGCTGCTCAGAATCATGTCCCTGAGGCCAAAGGGACTTTACGTGCCCCCTGCATTCCACATGTAAGGGACAGGGCCGGGAGCAGGTGTATGGCTCACCCAGAGTTACACATGACAGAGCTGGGCCTGGAAAAACCCCACTCAGAACAGAGAGTCCTGAGTAAGCACAAGCTGTTCCCCTTTCTCTCAAAGGACACCACCACCCTTGGTCACACACAGACACTTCACCAAGGCAAGAGGCAGCTCCTGGTGGGAAGGTAAGAGCCACCCGCTTCTTACCTGCAAAGTCCAAGTCTTCAATATGACACTTCTGTATCCTTTCCACCAGCTCCGGGATCCTGATGTTATACTTTTCGACGACTGCGATCTTCGCTTCCAGCTCTTTGTCCTCGGCAGCGGTCACGTACCTCTTGAAGCCACTAAAGCCTTCTTTGTGCATCCATCTTCTGATGAATTTGTCCTTAATGACGAGGTTTCCTACGGAGAATACACACCCAGGTTAACGCAACACAGGTGACACTCGCAGGGGCAGCAGCAGCCGAGCAGGCTCTGCCAGTAGCAGGACAGCTGGTGGTCTGGAAGCCGGAGGCCCAGGGACAGTCCCAGGCAAGTCACTAACTCATGCATGTACCTGGCCCAGGCAGCATGGTGGTCGCTCCACCTCCCTGAGGACCGAGAACCCTGGCTCGGAGCCTCACCTACTTCACAGGGATAACAGGGAAAGAAAAACACTACAGAACCCTTAGGAACTATCACTCAGGGCCCCATGGGAGGGTCAATGTGCAAGCCACCCATCAGACAGAGGGGGTGAGGGATAGCAAACCACATGAAAACCAAACTCCTGGGAGAAGCGGGGCGAAATCTGTTAGTATCTCGGAAGACAGGAGGCCTCAGGCACTCCGTCTCCATGGGAAAGGGCCCAGCTACTCGCTCCCCCTTACCACTTGGAGCCGGCCCTCCCTCTCCTGCCCCAACACCCAAGCACGTCCCGCTGCTGACCACGGCAGGCAGGCACTCACGTTTCTTCCGCTCTTCCTCTGGCTGAAGGAGGATCCAAATATCAATGATTCTGTCCAATCCAAATGATTTAATCCCCTGAAAAAGGTTTGTGGTAGGGGTTTTGTCTTGTAGTTGACATTTTAACAAAGCAAACTATACTGAATGCAGGAATGGGATTTTAGAATGAGATGGTTTCTTTTTTTTTTTTTTTTTAGATGGAGCCTCAAGCTGTCCCCCTGGGTAGAGTGCCATGGCATCACAGCTCACAGCAACCTCCAACTCCTGGGCTCAAGCGAGTCTCCTGCCTCAGCCTCCCAAGTAGCTGGGACTACAGGCGCCCGCCACAACGCCTGGCCATTTTTTGGTTGCAGCTGTCATTGTTGTTTGGCGGGCCCGGGCTGGGGATTCGAACCTGCCACCTTAGGTGTATGTGGCTGGCGCCTTAGCCGGTTGAGCCACAGGCGCCGAGCCGGATGAGATGGTTTCTTAGAAGTGAATCTCAAATCACACCCAAAGCATTAAGAGCAATTAGGAAACTTCATCAAGCACAAAGCACTGGGCTACCTGGTGCCTGAAAACTCAGGAAGATCAAAGTCTGAGTTTTGGCTGCCACCCCCAACTCTTCCTATGTTTTAAAGAAAGACAAGGCCAGCTTGACACCTATAGCAGTGGTTACGGCGTCAGTTACCTGCACCAAGGCTGGCGAGTTTGAACCCAGCCCAGCCAGCTAAACAAAAATAACAACTGTAACAACAAAAAGAAATAGCCATGCATTGTGGCAGGCACCTGCAATCCCAGCTACTTAGGAGGCTGAGGCAAGAGAATCACTTAAGCCCAAGAATTTGGGGTTGCTGTGAGCTGTGATGCCACGGCACTCTATCGAGGGCAATATAGGGAAACTTGGTCTATAAAATATAAAATAAAACAAAGGCAACTCCACCATCCATAGAAGGGCAAGTTAAGTCTACCTTCCAGGAATATAAGATGCCTGCAAAGAATACGAAATGGCACCTGAACACACAGTGCTGCTGTGAGTATCACCTGTTTCCAGTGAGCTGAGAACTAGAGCAGAGCTCTAGGCCCAGGGCACTCTGGTTTTAACAGGTCAGCCCAGGGAGGTGCAGCCCAGCCGACCTAACAGTGCTACTGAGAAGCACCTGCTGAGCTCCAGGCCCAGCACACATGACTCACGGGACAAGGCTCCACACACTAGGGGCCTGCCACCTTGTCAGAGGGACACAGAGACTGAGGCCAGAAGCTGTGGCTCACTCCTGCAGTTCCAACACTCCGGGAGGCCGAGGCAGGAAGAACACCTGAGCTCCACAATTTGAGAGCAGCCTGAGCAAGAGCGAGGCCCCATCTCTACTAAAAATAGAGTAGCCGGATGTAGGGGCACAAGTCTGTAGTCCCAGTTACTCCAGAGGCTGAGGCAAGAGAATCACTTGAGTTCAGGAATTTCAAGTTGCTGTGAATTATGATTCCACTGCTCTCCAAGCTGGGGTGACAGAACAAGACTCTGTCTCAAAAAAAATTTTTTTAAATTAATTTCCATCCAAAGGGATGGAACCATGACAGTATCCATCATAATTCACAACCAGATGTATGATCACATATGATATGACACTCACCACAGGTGGATATGAGAGAAGGGAACGGCTTACTTCATAGTGTGCCCAGCAAAGGTGACATCCCCAAAATACTACTTTCTCACAATAACAAATATGGCTAAATTATGCTGTATCTACTAGATAAAATATTATAAGGTCATTGAAGTAGCAATGAAAGAAAGTAGCTTATGTGTTCAGAGAAAAATAGCACATTTTTTTGCACACTATCGTTGTAATTATGCAAAAACAGACTATAAAGCTAAGACAAAAATAATTGGCAAAAATGAAATTATTATATAAAATAGTGGGATTATGTGGGGTGCTTGTAGTTTCTAAAATTTCTATATTTCCAAAAATACATTTATATAATCTTTACAATAAAAAGAGGAAACACAAAACATATTTTGACCATGATTCAAAGTAAGCCTAGAAAATATTTTCCCACAAATGAGTATCTTTTACTTATATAACTTTATTTCAGAGTTTAAAATGCCATCAGTGTACTCTTTGATGAGTACAGGTAAAGGAAAACATCCTTTTAATCTCAGAGATGGACAGAAGGGAGCACACAGAAGTTGTGGCTCGCCTCAACCCACATGAAGTCAGTGACAGAGTCAGATCTGGGCCCCAGGTCTCAGCTCCATGTGTGATCAGCTAAGCTGCCCTCACACTGATGGACGACACACACCCAGAAAAGCTTCAGGCAGCCTCGTCTGCAACACCAAGGCATTCATTTTTACAGAGTGGGGGAAAAGGTCCACAGTCCTCACTAGGTCTGCTTCATGGAAAGGTTCCATTAGCCCAAAAAGAGTGGCCTCAGAGAGAGACTTCAGTCACGGCACAGCCTGGTGAACAGAGCCAGCGCCCCAACACACCCTTGCACAGTGACCTCAGAGAAGGTACATGTGTTTCTTGGAGTGCAAAGCTACCAACAAAAACCTCCTCTCACCCCAATCAGATGTATCCTTGATGGCACTTCTCCTTCGGTCACTCGTACAGCCTCATCGAACACATTGGCATTGGTCCGTGACAGTAGGGCCACCTGCCCCTTTGTGTCACCTCTGATGCTACCTTTGGAGACAGAACACAAACTCTAGGGCAAATCAAAATAAAGAGGAAAATTAATTTGTGTAACAAATACAGGAGGAGTGACTGAGAGCCTTACTCTGATGGTTTCCTCCAACCAGAGTCTTTTTCCTCACTCTCTTGCAAACGTCCAAGATAGTAGCTCCCACATAAGCGATCTCCACTCCAAATCTAAAACTCTGTCGGAAAACAAGGGAACAAAAGCGGTCAGCAACCTGCCCTGACACACCTGGGCACACCATCACTGCCAAGACCTGGCCTTGCCAAACCCAACAGCTTACTTACTCCTGACCTGGCCAACTCGGGAAAGGAGTTTCAGAAGCTTACTGTCAAGACCCTGCACCACATGGACAGGCTTTATTTTCCCTAATACCAACAGTAAACTTGTCTTTTTTTTTTTTTTTTGAGACAGAGTCTCACTATGTTGCCCTCGGTAGAGTGCCGTGGCATCACAGCTCACAACCACCTCAAACTCTGGGGCTTAAGTGATTCTCTTGCTCTAGCCTCCCAAGTAGCTGGAACTATAGGCATCTGCCACAACACCCAGCTATTTTTTTATTGCAGTTGTCATTGTTGTTTAGCAAGCCCAGGCTGGGTTTGAACCAGCCTGCCTCAGTGTAGGCCCAACCACTGAGCTATAGGCGCCGAGACAACAGCAAACTTTTCTTGTAAGCAAATCTATCCTTTTTACCAAATCCAATCCAGTGAAATTTAAATTACACAAAAGATTAAGAGAGGGTAGGGAGGGGTTTTCCCCTTACCTTTGAGACCCCTTGAACATCAACTTTAAAATCACTGGCCTGCACTTGCTGGCCACAAGCAGAATCATTGCAACCTGACCATTCCCTCCACAGCGTCCACCCCAACTCATGCTATTTTCTGCCTAGAACTCTTTTTCCTCCGTCAAAATCATTTCCGACCCTCCAAACCTCAGCCCAAGACCCTATACCTCCTGGACCTCTCTGGCTGAAAGACGCCCTTCTTCTCCCAGCTCGTGGCACTTACTGCCTCTCTCCCGCATCCCTATTTTCAGGCAGTCAGGTTCTGTGTGAGTGGTGAATAGCAATAACAAAAACACTACTCTGTTGCTATAAAACTCTCCTGAATGGACTGCAACCAAGATGACAAAACAAACCTCCACAAGCCCGTGAGAGACAGATCTGGCTGACTGAACCGAGGGCGGGGAGAGACATTCCCTTTTGCAAATAATTCATAAATATCCTGCAACACGTGCTCCATGACAGCGGGCTGACTCTAGAACTTCCTTCCAAAGCACACAAGGGCTGAATCAGCCAGGTGATCAAGGTCAACAGTGACGGTCACGACCTACACCGACTGGGGGTGCCCCTGGTACGGGGTGACGGAAACACCACTTCTCATCTGTGGTCTTCCTCCCAGAACCCGAGTCTACCCAGTAGGAAAAACATAAGGCAAATGCCAGGACAGGGCATACTGCAAAACAAAGTATGCGGCCAGGCCTCAAAACTGTCAAAGACATAAAAAACAGAGTCTGGGAAACTATCACAGCCAAGCAGAGCCTAAGGAGACATGGTCACATGTGATGTGGCACAGGAATGGATCCTGGAGTAGCAAAAGGTATTATTTGAAAATTAAGCCAGGCATGGTAGTTCACACCTGTAATCCCAGCAATCTGTGAGGCCAAAGCGGAAGGATCATTTGAGGCCGTAAGTTCCACATCAAACTAAGCAACATACAAGACCCTGTCGCTACGAAAAAAATAAAACATTAGCTGGGCATGCAGGTGGTGGTGCCCGTAGTTCCAGTTACTCAGGAGGCCTAGGTAGGAGGATCACTTGAGCCCAGGAGCTCAAGGTTGTAGAGAGCTGCGATCATCCCACTGCACTCCAACCTGGGTGACAGAGCAAGATCCTGTCCTTTAAAAAAAAGTTAAAGCACAAAAAACAAAACTTAGGAAATATGAATGAACCCTGGACTTTAGTTTGTAATAATGTATCAAGGTCAGGCGCAGTGGCTCATGCCTATAATTCTAGCACTTGGGAGGCCAAGGTGGGATTGTCTAAGACCAGCCTGAGCCAGAAAGAGACCCTGTCTCTAAAAATAGCCGGGCGTTGTGGTGGGCGCCTACAATCCCAGCTACTTGGGAGGCTGAGGCAAGAGAATCGCTTGAGCCCAAGAGTTTGAAGTTGCTGTGCGCTGTGACACCACTGCACTCTACTGAGGATGACAAAGTGAGACTGTCTCAAAAAACATAATAATAATAGTATTAATAGTAATGATGTATCATTTCTGGTTCATTATTTGTGGCCAGCGTTCCACACTAATGCAAGACATTACTAAGAACTAAGGACAAGGTATATTAGAATGCTCCCCTCAATTTTTCAATAAATCTTGCTGTCCTAAAAAAATATTGTCCATTAAAAGAAAGAAACTACTCTGAGGGTGGCACCTGTGACTCAGTGGGTAGGGCGCCAGCCCCATATACTGAGGGTGGAAGATTCAAACCCAGCCCCAGCCAAACTGCAACAAAAAAATTGCCAGGTGTTGTGGCGGGCGCCTGTAGTGCCAGCTGCTCAGGAGGCTGAGGCAAGAGAATCGTGTAGGCCCAGGAGTTGGAGGTTGCAGTGAACTGTGTGATGCCACGGCACTCTACCAAGGGCGATAAAGTGAGACTCTGTCTCTACAAAAAAAAAAAAAGAAAGAAAGAAAAAGAAACTACTCTGAACTGAGGCCACTGTAAATAACCATTGCAGACAGAAATGACGGAAGAGTCACAGGAAAGTCCACAGAACGTTCAATGACAAAACAGAGCATGATTTATACTTTATTGCAGGTGACACACACTAGATCCTCCACCTAGAAGCAAGTGTCTTCAAGACAGTGGCTTTCAAACTGCTGGCCTTAGGATGCTTCACATTCAAAAACTACTGAGGTAGCCGGGCAGCACCTGTGGCTCAGTGAGTAGCACGCCAGCCCCATATACTTAGGGTGACAGGTTCAAACCTGCCCTGGCGAAACTACAATAACAACAAAAAATAGCCGGGCATTCTGGCGGGTGCCTGTAGTCCCAGCTACTTGGGAGGCTGAGGCAGGAGAATCACTTAAGCGCAAGAGTTTGAGGTTGCTGTGAACTGTGATGTCATAGCACTCTACTGAGGGCAACACAGTGAGTCTCTGTCTCAAAAAAAAGAAAAAATTACTGAAGCCTCATAAGAGCTTTTATTTACGTGAGCTTTATCTACCTACCTACCTATATATATCATATTAGAAATTTTAATTCATTTAAAAATAATGTGCCACTTACATGATAGCATAAAGAATACAGCTTCTGAAACATAACTACAGTTACCAGAACAAAAAAAATTTAACACAAAGAGTGGCACCGTTTTACCTCTTTGCAAAGCTCTACAGTGCCTGGCTTAGTGGAAGGCAGCTGCATCCTTCCAGCTGAGGTCCTGGACACACATTTGCATCCAGTCTGCTGTGACACAGTGTCTGGGCTGAAGTGTGTGAAGAAAATTCAGCCTCACTGTGCAGACAGGAGTTTGCCAAAATTCTAATTTGACTTGAAAGCAAAAATGTTACCTCTGACAACAAACGCTGTTAGTCATTTTCTTTGAAGTTACAGCTCATTTCATTTACCTTTGAAAATATGCCAAGACCCCAATCTGAACAACCAGTGCTGGTCTGAAATTGGCCTATCTGGCCCAAGTGGGGCTCATGGCTCGGCTGACACAGTGCTCTTCCTCACACAACTGTCCTGCACGTAGCAACCATGGAACGGCCTGACTACAGGTCCCTAGAAGGCACTGCTGGGAGGCAAGGATGTGCTGTGTCCTGTGGGCCCAGCGCCTTGCCCTGCACAATCCCCGGGGGACATACTGCCACCCTCAGACACGGCGAGACCTCTCACCTGTGTGAGATAGAAGACGTGAGTGTGGGGCACTGTGAACAAAGCGTTGACAGCACCCCGGAAGGTATAGATCTGCTGGTGCGGGTCCCCCACAAAGATCTTCCCACACGGCTGGGACAGAACGATGTTCATGATCGCTGTGAGCAACGAGAGAGAGAGTGAGAGACGCCAGGGCTCCGACCCACTCAGCAACAAGGGTGAGAATGCTTTCGCTACCCAAGCCGGGGACACTGGGCGGCAAAGCTGCCTTTCCCTACAAGACACGCACACACGCATCAAAATAAGCAATTTATATAGACAGTAAAAATAACAGTTTTAGGTCTAAGAATACAATTATTTCCAGTCATGGAGAAATGAGTCAGTATAAGAAATTACAGAGGCAGAAATGAAGTTAGTCAAATGTCTTCTAATATTGTAACACAACACCCAAAACCGAATGACAATGTCACACTGATGATACTGTCTGGGCACCATGAGCCACTGAGAGACAACACAAATTTTTCACTCTAAATTGACTCTGTTCCCACAGAGCATGAGATCAGGTCCCCATCACGACCCACACAGGTGCACAAACACTGAAATCCTAAGTCACACAAGAAGGATCAGTTGCTCCTCATCTTTATCACAAGTGAGAGACTTATTGCAGGGTCCTCTTCAGTAATTGCGATGCTGTTTCTACACCTAAGACTATGATGACCAGAACAGCTCATCACCTGGGGTGCAGTCTTGGGCCTCGTCCACGAAGATGGCATCGTAAGAGGCCAACAGAGGCTTGCTTAGCTGCCAGAGTTTCAGGTAGCCTGGAAGAGGGAGAGACACAAGTCACTACTATGGGAAAGCAGTCCCACGGGACAGACACCCACGCCCAGAGCTCGCCTACCGTCATGCGTCATCTGGTAAGCCTCTTCTGTGCCCTCCCCCAGCTTCCGCATATTGTCCCAGAGGCGGCTGGCTTCAAGGACGCCATTCTGGAAAGCAAAGGATACTGTACCCATAGTTGAAGTCCCTACCATCACACCTTCACCTCCCAGACAGCAGTGGGGGCAGAGGGGCCATCACAGAGGGTGAGCGGCACCTCCCCAGCCTGGGCACACCACAGAGGGTCCTGAGAGCTACGAGGTGAGGAAGCAGCTGGGGCCAGGCTGAGCCCCAACTGGGTGAACCAGAAAAGGCTGGAACACGTGTCTACACTCACGACTGATACTTAACTCACAAAGAGAGTATGGAAAAGACTTGATAAAAATAAGAAATAGCTTTCCCACTAGCAAAACTGATTCTACAGAACCAATAACCAAAAAAATTATAAAAGGGAGTCTAGTCTTCAGATAAAAGCAGACTCTAGGTTTAGAAGCAGCCATATCCAGCTCTGACTTGCCCTGGGCAGGCCATTCCACGTCGGCGTGTCCTCTGTTACCCAGGAGAACCACTCTGAGGATTAATGAGGCCTCTAAGGGATCCTCAGGCGAGAAGACACCAGCCAGGGCCCAGCTATGCTGCGAGCCGCAGCCTCCCTGCCATCTTTACTAACTGCAAGAGGCTCTAAAGAAATGGAAGACAGAATACCCTGTCCCGTACCACCTGCCTTCCTAGGAAACCCTCTCATCTCCAGGTCCCTAATACCTAAGACAGGTGGGTGCTCACCAGTTTTTCACTCTGTTCCACCATGACCCATACCACCTGCCTTCCTAGGAAACCCTCTCATCTCCAGGTCCCTAATACTTAAGGCAGGTGGGTGCTCACCAGTTTTTCACTCTGTTCCACCCTGTCCGGTACCACCTGCCTTCCTAGGGAAACCCTCTCATCTCCAGGTCCCTAATACTTAAGGCAGGTGGGTGCTCACCAGTTTTTCACTCTGTTCCACCCTGTCCCGTACCACCTGCCTTCCTAGGGAAACCTTCTCATCTCCAGGTCCCTAATACCTAAGACAGGGGGGTGCTCACCAGTTTTTCACTCTGTTCCACCCTGTCCCGTACCACCTGCCTTCCTAGGGAAACCCTCTCATCTCCAGGTCCCTAATACCTAAGACAGGGGGGTGCTCACCAGTTTTTCACTCTGTTCCACC